ATTAAGTGAGCACAAATTTATTGAAGATGAGAAGAACGATGCTAAAAATTTATTTCTGTGCAACTTAGCCAATGCCATTATTATTTTTGAATTAATGGCTGTGAAGCCAAGTCGATCAGTTATTATTAGGAATAATAACTTTGAAGACGACAGAAGGATTACAAATACCAGAGGTATATTTTATATTAGTAAATTACTATATTAGTAAATTATTAAGAAATAAACTTTTTTGTAATAAATATTATTTTAATCTGTTTTGTTATTATAAATGATTTTATTATTATTCGAAAAATCTTAGTGTTAATTTTATTTGATTAATATGCACGCCAGGTATGACAAATAAGAAATTACACCAAGTAAAAACGTTGTAATTATTGTAGGTGCGTCATTTGCATTGTACAACACTGCCAGGATAGCTACAATTATAACAAAATACAATGAGAAGGTATTATGTGGGGATTATCCTGGTTTACCAGATATAAAAAATGTAGATTTCTCACAATTACAAGAAGAAGTATGTATAATTCTCTGTATTTTTTTTACAGATTATTATTTTATATTTTCTCCTAATTTTGTGATATTTACGTATCTTCTTTTTTTTTTATAGAAAATTGAGCATTTCTTTAATTTTAATTCGACATTTATATATTCAACAAACTAACTATGAAATTCATTAATCATTCGAAATTTTGATATTTTTTTAAAGGAAAATTTATTTGTCTATAGGAAGAATGGGAGCTGATATACAATTTTATCTTCGGATATTCACAAATGATAAATGATTGTCTGAAATGTGAGCCAAGTTTTAATATTTATCCCCAAGTCGTATGCCTGTTCTTATCACGATTATGCCAAAAATTCAGTGTCTACTATCGAAAAGTTAGAATTTTAACGGTAAGAAAAAACTTTATGCTTATATTTTACATGTTTTTACATGTAAATTATTATTTTTTAAATTTCAGGAAGGAGGTAATCATTTGATTCCCAAGATGGTTGCCAGATTGTATATGTTGCGTGCATTGCACATCGTCTTTGAAAACGCCCTGGACATTTTGGGTATCAAACCGGTATCACGAATGTGAAATGATCTATAATGGAGAAAAACTTAATTTTATATTTAGCTTAATAAATAAAATTGTGTTACATTTGTGATTAAAACTATATAAAGTCTTTTCATTTTTATGTATGAAAATGTCTTCTCGAATTGTAGTATTTTTGTCTCATTTATCTTTTATGCTCATTTTTATTATTCCAACGTGAAGTAATTATTTTAATCTTGATTAAATGTAACACGTAACTACTCTTTTTCCTCTAGCTTTAATTCTAAAATTAAAAACGATAAAGAGAGTAAATTAAACCAAAATTAAAGTTAATCTAGGATGCATTCTGTTTCATGCACAATGTGCATAATGCATCATTATTATTATTTAACATTCGGCGAACAAGAAGAACAAGACCTGGTTCTACCAATGTAAATAAGATTGAATTTAATTTTGGTTCAATTTAGTCTTTATCTTCTTTTAATTATAAAAATTAGGAAAAATTAAACAGAAAAAATCGAGATTAAAGTTACACTGGTACCGGAAACCGGATCTAATACGTGTTTCTACTAATGCAGTTTAATGTTAATCTCATTGTCGGTTCAATTAGCTCTTTATCTTTTTCTAATTTTAAGAATTAAAATTCATTGGTAGAATATCCAGTAAATGAGAAAGGATTGAAATAAAAATTAAATTGGATTCAGATTTTATAAAAAATACACATTTGCGTACGTTAAAATAAGTCTTCTTCAAACTAAATTTGTATACATTTACAGGAATTGTACTAAACACATTTCTATGGCTTTCAATAAAACACAATATAAACTTTTTCTGTGCATTGTGTATAGTGTTCAATTCAAAATTCTGAATAAGAGAGAGATGTAGTTTTTCAATCCAATTGAATCCAATTAAATCCAAAGAGATATTTTTTTTATTTAATTTGATTCAGTGGAACAGAATAATGAGAACTAAATAGATACGACTAAAAAACAAGAATAAAATAAAAAGAACAAAACTAGAAAAAAAGTTCCTTTTTATTCAATTTTGGATTTAATGGGCTCAATATACATATAAAAATTTCATTTTAATCCATTTTAATCTATTTTCGATTACTGAGTCTGGGCATAAATGACGCATTGTGTATAAAATGAAACATCCTCCTGTATTGATGGACAATATTTTCTATTCTAATTTACACGTATTCTCATTTGTATTTCAATATTTTCTCAATTGAGCGCGCTGAAAGAGCCATTCGGAACAACGTGAACGGAGAGTTGAAAGAAGTCGGGCGCGTTCGGCCTCGCTCGGCTTCGTTCAGCTGCACCACTCGGCTGTGGAGGACGACGACAGCGGCGACGCTGGGCGGCCAGCTGTTTGTTTTGTTTTCGGGCATGAGATTCACGTGACAGCCGGCGGGTGTTGGTGGCGGCACGCGACTATCGCGGCGACGCTTCTTACGGCAACGTGGATTGGCCGGAGACGGCGGCAAGCGCGCCGCGCCGACCAATCGCTGCGGCCGTAAGCGCGCGCCGCCGCCGCCGCCGTCAATGCGGAGCGCTGCTGCCGCCGAGGGTGAGCGTTTGACATCGATAAATGCGTGCGAGTGCTCGCGAAGCGCGGAGGTGTCAAGCTGTCGCTCGCCCGCTCGCTCGGTCGGTCGTTCGTGCGTTCGTTCATATATACATATAATTCGTCCGCGTATCATCCGCGAAACGACGTCGTGGTCGCCGTTTAAACCGTCGCGTTAACCTCGCCCGCTCATTTTCATCGCCGTGGCCGTTTGCTCCTTCTCCATTCGCGCACGGTATTGTTCGTTGTCCGATCAGCCTGCTCCCACCCCGCCACCGCTGTGCGCCCCTCCGCCCCTGTGGGAAACCTATGTGTGTGCGGGAGAGAGAGAGAGCGCTAAGTGTTGGATAGAGTGCTGATCGTCCACACAACGTAGTGAAACACAAGAGAGAGACACCGTCAGTCTTTTTTTCTCTCCCCATTTATTTTTTCTCTCTCACACCTATCTTTGCGTATATCCTCCTTTATCGCCGCGCGACCCGTGCCAAATGTCATCGGGCGGATGTTAGGGCATATATACGGGCGTATACGTACGTTTTTGCGTACGTAAATATACACAGGGGCGTGAATGTATGTAATACGTGAACGTATTTTCGTGCATATGTGGTGGCGTGTGCGCGCGCGCCTGAGAGAGACGTACGGAGCGCTCCGACGAGGGGACGACGGGATTCTCAGCTGGCGCATTCTAGTGGACGTTCGGGTAGAAAGTGTTGTTGCGCGAAGGCGGCTCTCGCCTGTCCCTTTGTTTGTGAGTTATCAGCTGGCGCGTTGCCTCTCGCCCAGCCTCGTATAACGATAGCGCGGCCTGGCTCGTGTGAACAATAAGCTGCGAGGCCCCCGAGGTCGAGCCCGAAATCGAAAGAGAATCCTCCTCCTCCCTTCGTCCGTGACTCGTGCGAGAATAACAGAGAGTCTTGTTCGAAATCGCCTGGCGATCCGAGACGGATCCCGCCCGCGCTTCCCCCTTGTCTCCTCGTTTCTACCCTGTGTGCATTCGTCGTGCTCAATCGTGATGACAGATGGCTTTTCGGTTAACTTCAAGCGCGATTTTCTCGTTCAGACGGAAATCTGACCTTTTCCGAGCCGTCGTGAGATTATACGAATACGGCGGAGTATCCGGCCTGATGTTTTTCGCTCCGAGAGACAACTGATTTTGAATTTTGGTTGAGAAAAACGCGCCGTGAAAAAAAAAAAAAAAAACTCGTACCGAAGGCATATCCGGCGTGCACCGGATGTCGTAAATGTCTTTAATGTTTGTTCGATCGACTGGCGCGCGATGTTTGCCATATCTCGCGGACAAGTCCATGTAATTACTTTGGAAAATAGTTTTTTTTTTTTTTTTTTACGTTAATGCCTTATCGCTAAGAATTGAAGGAAACTGGAAAAACATCTGTGCGTATTTAATATTTATTTTATTGTATACCGCATTCATATATGTATATATATCGATCGCGTTAAAAATTTATTTAGATGGACTTAACCTCTAATTCTTGTGTCGTAATCGCTTTATCATTAACTACACATTTTTATTGATCATATTAACAGATTCTATTTTCTTTGTCTCTTTTTTTTTTGTCTTTAGGTCTGCTTGATGTAACCACATTTTTATGCCTTTTTTCCTCTCACGTCTAAATACGCACCTATTTTATTTTTAATGTAGAAACTGCTGGACTAAGCTGAGCTTTTGTAAATAAATTGTTTTTTTTTATGTATTTTGTTTTGTATTTAGTTCTTGATTCACTCTTCTCTTTTATTAACGAATCCATCTTTGATCCATCAAAGCCTGCAAAAAATTTTCTATTTTTATGTCTTTAAATTTTAATTAATATATTCTTAAAATTATTATAAGTTTTCGAAATATCTTATGTCTTTCTCTGTACGTGTAGACGTAAAAATAATTATTTGCTATCTTTTAAATAAACGTTTTTTTTATTATACTTGTTCATGACATTAAATTTCTGTTTTGTTCAACTTTAACGATAAATATTTCAGACTAACGTTTAAAATTTTATTATGTTTCATTTTTTATTATATATAGAAAGTTTAATTTTTCCAAATATTAAATTGTGTTTCTTTAAATACTTAATTTCTTTTACATATGAAATTGTCTTTTTTACTTAATGAATTTCAGAAGTGTACATATATTTAAATCTTTGTTGCGTTTCTTTTTTGATAAAAAAAAGTTTATGTTTTCGAACATTAAATTGTGTAATATATATAATTTCGTATATAAAAATGAATCTTGAAAATGAATATACTTCATTTAACATTTAATTTTACCACGTTTCGTTTCTTACAGCAAAATTCGTTCAATTTTTCTAAATATTAAGTAGTATATATTTTCGAATACATAACTTTTGAAACGTTCACATTTTGTTTAATAAATCTAAAAAGTGAAATACCTCAGATTTTAACATTTAAACTTTTATTACGTTTCGTTTGTGGCAGAAGAAAGTTCAATTTTTCCAAATATCGAATTGTGTATTTTTTTTCGAACTGCGCATACGTGATGCACGCATACAAAGAACGCAATTTCGTGTTCTCGTTCTTACGTAAAACTACACGTAAAATCCTATCCGTTAATCTCCACCAAAAGACGCAAGCACGCGACAAAGAAATTAAATCCCCCGTTTAATTCATAAGTAATCTCATTTCGAGGCGCATAATAAATTTCGCTTTATCGCTCCTTCTATATTTATCCGTCTCTCTCTCTTTCTCTGTCGTTCTCGCGCGCGCGCGCGCGCGCTCTGTTCCGTTTAATTCGCTGTTTATTTTTCTCGCGTTACGCGACCGCGCGTAGGCGTATTCTCTCTTTCATTCCGTTCTCTCCTCTCGCGCTCTTTCACTCATCGTGCGTTGTTTTGCTCCTTCTCCCCTCCCTCACTCCCTGTCACGCGTGTGTGCGCGCGCGCGCGCACAATGTATGCATGCGTGTGGCTGGCTGTGTGCGCGTGCTCGCGCGATCGGCTTCTCTCGGTGGCGTTCGAAGCGCAGTTACCTCACGCGGCACTTTCGTATCGGTGGTATCGCGACTGTTGTGTATATAGTTGCCGTTTATTTATGTCGGGAATCGTATGTACGCGAAATCGGCACGAGTCACGTTCGCGCGAATGCTTCAGTGGAGGGACGCAACGGTGGTGTGATAATCGTTCTTCTCTTGTGATTTGCAGTGCAATCGGCGGGTAAATGTGGTGAAACGGCAGTGAGAAAAGAAGAAGAGCAGTGGAGAGCAGAAGGAGAAGAGCACGGTCGCGGCAACTGCAGGAGGAAGGAATCCAAGACGATCGCGATCGAAGCAGAGGCACGTCGTGAAGAAGGAAAATAATACATATATATATAAAAAAAAAAAAAAAAAAAATCCACGCGGATTCCTGACGTTTTACTTGAGGAACGCTGCAAACGGGGAGCACTCGAGTAAAATTCATGCATTCCTGAGTGCTTATATAGATCGATCGACAGTGATCAATAGACGGGATACGCGATTCGCCAACACGAAGGGGGGGATATTTGAGAGAGAGAAGCTGTGAAGTCCATTTGAAAAAAAGGCCGGGAGTCAACTTGGGTAGAAACGAAAATTCATTGAGCCGCGCGAGAGGATCCATCGAAGACGACGCACGATCGACGTTGAGGAGAGAGGCGCTTCAGAGATTCCGCGCTGGAAATATTCACTGATCGTTGTTTAATCGCGAGGGAGAGACCGTTGGAGAATCTAACAGGAGCAGCAGCGGTGTAGAAAGAAAACTTTCCGCGTATATCTCTCCGTCTCGGCCTCGGTTGCCGCCGCTGTTGCCCGCCGCCGTCGTCGCTGTCGCCGTCCGCGCGGATTGGTGCACGTTCCTCCTCTCTCTCTCTCTCTCTCGTTCGGCGTGCGTCGGTGTCGTCATCGGTTGGTTTACTTGTGCGCGTTCGTGCGCGCAGTTACGCGGCCGAAGGTAGCCGACGTGCGGCGAAGTCGCCCGAGGCGGCGCGGCGCGGCGCGGCGGCCCAAGACATCACGATTACGTATCTCGCCGGTATTCCCCTCCCTCCCTCCCCCCCCTCGTTCTCGCCTGCGCGCCCGTCGTCCGCGCACGTGCGCGCGCGCGTCGTCGTGTGTGTGTGTTTGTGTGCGTGCTGTGCGTGAGGCTGTGTACGCCCGGGTGTGCGTCCTCGGCACGTGTGTTGGCGCGGGAGCGTGCGGCAGAAGAAAGGGGAACGAGCGCGAACGGAAGCAGCCAGGATTACTCCAAACCGAGGAAATATGAGCATTGCTGCCCTATTACAAGCCGCCGAGTACATTGAACGAAGGGAAAGAGGTGAGTGTGAATTTCTCGCGCTTTTTACTTCTCCCTCTCTCTCTCTCTCCCACTCTTGTAGTAATCGCAACCTTGCGCAGAACGAATTCTTCAACTTCGTGGAATAACCGATTACAGATGAACTTGTAGAATTTGAATATTTCAGAAAGCTACTACAATTTGATTAATTTCTTTTTCATTTAATAAATGTAAAAAAGTTTCGAAATTTTTGGAGTAATTCTACGTTATTGTCTATATTATTGCTCCGTTTCTGTTGAGGTTTTTTCAGGATAATTTAATTGAATCTAGTAGAGCTCCATTTAGAAATATTCACTTTTGACTTTGATATAATTGGATGTTCTTCAAATTTTTATCGCGACAGTCGCCAAATGATTGCTCCATTTCTGAATTTTATGTCCCTTATTGACTGCGTTTTATGCATGTAAATAATAATTATTTGTTTCAAATATTTCAAAAATTCATACATTTGCAATGTATCACAAATGTATCAAATTTATTCAAAATATATTCTGGATCCTAGTGAGTTTAGTATTTCAATAAACAATATTAAACTAAAAAAGAAATTTGATTTCTTTATTATACAAAGTCACTTCTTCGATCAATTTCATAATATTCTTTAAAAGAAAATGCCTGTTTTGAGTACACTATATATAACATTATATAAATTTTCCTCGTGATATATAAATATATATCAAAATTATCATTAAGAAAATATTTTTTGTTAAAAATAATAATTACTTAAAAAAGGAAAGCAAGTCAATCGAGTATCGTCATTTTCTTAACAATAGAATGACATTTTTCTGTGCGCATGACACGAACGGTTCAGTTCATCCTTGTTGGACATTCGGTAAACAACAAAGATGAAATGATGCACCGTGCGTTTTACGAAACGCGGCCATTGTGAGATCGGGATTTGTATACCTCCTGAGATCGTTGATTATAAATTCTCGATACAATCGGACGCGTTCCTCTCAGCGTGCGGTCTGTTCTTTCGAACGAAAAATTCAATCGTTACGATTTACGAGTAATCCGATCGTGACTATCTTTGTTTTCGCGTTGGATCGTACGCGGTGCGATGATGATCTCATTTTATCATCCCACTTATAATGCCGCTGCGTCGCACTAGAGCGATGTCCTCGCCGCCGCGCCGCGTGCATGCGGCAACGCACGTCGTTCAACGTGCGCGAGCGCGTCTATTCCTTCATGCGTCGTAACACATTGGGAGTTTTCCAATGGAGTCAACGTGCACACGTGGGATCGTAAAGGGTCCCCCCTACACATATGATACGCACACATATGACGCGCAGCAAGAAGCGATGCGTCGACCAATCAACTTCCCGCTTTCCCGCGTAAGAGTGAAAGATATTCGGTTGACTATAGCGTCGCTTTTTGTCTCGTGACTAACGTTTGCGCGTAAGAATGAAAACGCGTCAAATTGCACGTCTATATCAAGGCTTACCTTATTTACGCATGGCTGCACTGAGAAAAAAATTGTTTATTTGCTTAAATTGATTTAGTTTGTCTTTATGTATATATATGTATTTTTTTTTTTTTTAATTAAAAATATGTATATAAGCCGAATATATATTATATTTGATTTAAATACGTACATTCTTCAACGTAAAAAATTTGCATATATACAATTATTTACATGTATATATATGTGAAAACGAACTAAATTAATTTAGTTAAAATGAACAATGTCTTTTTAATGTATTATATATTATTAACTTAAAATTATATATTCTCCAACAAAAGAAAAAAGTACGAGTAATCTAGTCAAATGAACAATTTCTTTTCTCACAGTGCGTTGATAATTTCAAAAAGTGGCAAAACTGTCTCAAAGCAGGACGTGACATTTCGCAGTTTGATATATCTGTGTTTGTATGACGAATAAAAATAATAAATCTGTAGTAATAATATGTAACACAGTAAAGGTTATGGCACATAACAAAATTAAAAATTTTTTAATTAGTAAGCAGTTACTTTTACTATAAGTACAAATTAAACGAATCGGCTAATTACAGTTCACAATGTAAATATTAGCAAATTAAAAATAAAGTCTTGAGTTAAAAGAAATTTAACACGCGTACATCACACTTACACAATTTTGGAATATTATTAATTTAACAATTCAATGAAAGCGGCCATCAGCAACACTAATAGCGATTTATATTGTTATGTTAAATTTCTCTCTCAATAAAATATTCCACGGTTTTTCCAAATCAGAATAAAAATACAAAAAATTTTTTAGTCTTATTGAAAGCGTCAGGAAAAAATCATGAAATTTTGTCTGAAAATGAGGGAAAAGTTATAGAATTTTAAGATGAGAAAATTGTGACTATCCTGACGTATGTTCATTTTTTTTTGCGTTTTTCCTTAAATCATCGAAAATTCGAGAAATGTAGTGAGAAAAGATATGTTTTCGCGTAATTATCTCATGACCATGAAACCGCATATGGCATTACAGAAATAGTTAGACCTGTATATTTTCAACTAATTATTACTACGTTACTAGCGATTATGTTATTAGCGAAATGCTCGTTGAAATGAATTGTTTCTTCACGTACACTTTTTGCATATTTTTGTTAAAATACTGACGTTTCAATGAATCGACGAAAGTAAATACGAGAAAGTATATATCGATCTAAGATTTGTCTCAATTTAACCACGACCTCTTTATTTATGGAAATTTATTCTAGAGTCTCTATTTTTATCTGATTTGGAGTGTCTGTCAGTCTTAATTTAATCCCGGCCTCTATTTATACAAATTTATTCCAATGCGTCTATTTCGATTTGTCTCGATGCATTTGCTTATCTCGATTTAATTTGATGTCTATTTTTAGAAAAAACATTGTATTTACGTTTCTAATGTTTGTACGTTTGATAAGCACTGGATTGATTAATTTAACGGTATGCACTTATTAAAAATTCACGCGTTTAAAGCTTATTTTCTTGTGAAAAGAAATATAACTTAGTGCAATTGTACTTCGATCAAACGTGACACTTTCCTGAAACGATAATAAAATGTGGAACGATCTAAGAAAATAAAATGTGACTTACTGTCGATCGCGCCTGTCATCATTCGCTCTCTAACGAAACTGTCAAGCTTCGAAAACTGATTCTCTTGCGAGTCATGTCGCGAGTTTTCTTCGTATGTATATCTAAATATATGTACTGCTTTTGAAGATACGAAAATATCGTTAAAGATAAAGTTGTGTCTTACGAACATTATTTGCAATTGAAAACAGCGATACATTATTAGTGGAAATGTCTAATATTGTAGTTTGGAGACGAATGATTTTGGATTGGATTTATTTTGAACTTATTTTGAGCGCGCTATAGCATACGAAAATTAGGCCACCAACGCTTCGTGACGCTGTATATAATAATTTGTATAACATATAAATATATAATTATGTTCTACTTATTGATTTATCGTTTTTGATTACAGAAGCTGAACATGGCTATGCTTCAACGATGCCAATACCCGATGATATGCGGACGATTACAAAGAGGCCAAAGACGAAAAAGTCCCAAGGCAGCAGGTTCGTGTCTGCTAAAATATCTTTGTGTGAAACGACACATAGAAATTTACACGCGAATTTTTTAAAAATTAAAGATATATTTTTAATCTTACATCGCATTAGTATGAATCTTTTTAAATGTACAATTTAGACTACTATTAGTAATTTCTATAACAGTCTCATATTAAATTTTAAAATCAAAGAGAGAGAAAATGTTATTTAAATTATTAATTTTTTACATTTGCTGCAATTTGAAATATTGCAAATATTTCGCAAAAACTGAAATGTACCTCAATAGAAGTATTATATTACTTCGACAAGGTATATTCGATTATAAAGAGACAATTTATTTTATAAAAGCATTCTATATATAAAATTGCAACTTTCAGAATACAACTATTCGTGTGCAACAATCCAAAATATTATCAATTGGTAGTTTAATCGCTCATGATTTAGAATCGAATACAAATAATATTATTGCTACACATACTATTGCAAGTCTCAATTGTTATTCCGAATTATTTGTAGCTGAAAATTTTGCAATATCTTTTATATAATAAATCTCTGTGTTTTTTCGATTTTCTTTTTTTATATCTGGAAAAAGAAATATTATTGTCGTAATTTGAATTGCTCATTTTTGCAAAATGTGAAGAATACTTTTTTTTGTTTCCAGAACGACTCATAATGAGTTGGAGAAAAATAGGTGAGTGTTTTAAAATTTATAATATAAATGATTTTATATATTGTATTTAAAAATTATATATATTATTATAGTAACACAAACAAGATAGAAAAATTATAATAATAATTATAATATTAAATATAATTACATAAGTCGAAAAAAGTTATGTTTTTAAAAACAAATTATTTTAGTAATTTGATAAACCTGTTAATTAGTATTATATTAGTGAAATAATTTCTTTTTTAAATGCTTAATTTAAACATTTGTCAGAAATAAGCGATATTAAAGATAAAGACATCGTTTTGAATGATAAATTCGCATTTATACGAATTAATTAAATTTATATGCCATAAGTAAATTTATAAATTAAATTTATGAAAATAATTTGTTTCGCGTGAATAAGAATAAATAAAATTATAATTTATTGGAGATATAAATCCGTGCAAGGTTAAAGTCCGTCGGAAATAAACCGGAATAAATATATAAAACATTTAATGTGATATTATAACCTTTCTGAAATTAATTCTTTTGAAAACAAAAAATGAATATACCAGCGGCGACCAATGCGTGCGTTTCACGTGGGCAGAAAAGATGGAGGTGGGAAGATAACTATCCGGGACGCTTTTAACTTCAAACTATAATGTTATAGTTTGAAGAACCAAAGATAAAAAGAAAATATACTTAACAAATACACGTTATTACGTTATGTAACACAGATATGGGATGTAACAAAGAGCAGCGGGTTTTTACATTGGCCGTTTCTGTGTCACGCCAGCCCTTGTGTAACTTTCTCTCCCCCTCTGTGATCCCTCTTCCCAATGTGACCACTATTCGCACATAGGCTGCTTGGGTATAAAAAAAATCGATAGTCCGCCTGCGACTATCTCGCTTTCTCTCTCATTCTTTAGAACACCCCTTCTACCCTCTTTTTCTCTTTATGCTGACTAGCGAGTTTAACCCCCCTTTTCTCGAAATGCTTATAGTGCGCCAACGTTTTCTGGAAGTTTTTAAATTTTTTAAATAAATAATATGTGAATAAAAATTAAAAGAGGAAATATTATGGTATACAGTTATAATCTTGTATCTAAAGTATATAAATATTATTAAAATATATGTAAGGAAGTGTATCCGTCTCTCCTTTCATATATCCTATGAAATGCAAATTTTTTTTACCAAATAATCTTTAAAACAATTTTAACTTGTTCTAATTCGTTTATTTCTTTGATTACGTGTAGTTTATTATACATATATACATGAAATTACGTAATATTTAGTTCCTTTAAAATGATACGAATCTTCCAAAATGTAAAATTTATACCACTAACTATATATTTCTATAATGTCATATTTTATATTTTAAAAAGGTAAAGTAATATTGTACGAATTTTCCAATTTTCTACATTGTCATGAATTTATTGTGGCGTGAAAGAACGTGAAGAGAAATTTTGACATTACTTTATAAAGAAATTGCATTATTTCATTGCTGCAAAATACTTTATTATCAAGGCATATTTTTTATGAAAAATAAAGTTTTTGTATATAATTATTTAATATTTATAAAACATGGAAATATCTATACTTGTAGGAAAATATCTAGTTAATATATTTATGTATTTATACGTACATTAGTATTTATGTTTTCAAACATCAATATTTTTATACGTATATACGTGTACTTGGTATTTTTTTAAGATTAAAATAGTTTAGAGTTAGAATTAGTATTCTCTATTTTTGTGTTATTTTTTCGATGAAGATAAAATTAAATTTTGTCAGCCGGTGTTGTTTACGCGTCTGTATCAATGGCGGTTGGTGCAAGCGCTGCGTAAGTATGCAGCGCGTGTGACAAGCATACTTACGCAGCATACAAAACGCGGAAGCCAATGGCATACTGTCCTAAATTTGGCGCGCGGCGAGCGGCGGAAATAAATCCATGGCGGCCCAAATAGTACTGCGCATTAAAGACCACGGTTAAGATTATATTACGATCGATGATCTCTCGGTCGCATTACGAAAACGATTCACGATCTAGTTTTTTGTTCTGTTCTTTCGATTTCTGTTTATAACGGCTTGCATCGGTTTATAAAAATATAATGTAAAATGTTATCACAAAAAAAATATTCCAATCAGTTGTTCCAACTTGTTAATTAACTTAATTATGTTAATTAAACGTAATTATAAGCGTTGTTTCTTTTTAGATACTGTAAACAAACTTGAAGTTTGAACTTCGTCAAAGATTTAAGATAACATTTTGCTGCTTTCGTGTGTTTACCGTAATTATTATCTTTCGTTTACTTTACAAATGATTAGAGGAGGTCATTGACTGATTTCGCGAATTTCAAAAATTGAGAAAATGAAATATAAAAATATACGTCAAATATATTATATATTTCAAAAAATGAAATATAAATATGTAATTGATATTTTTTATGTTTGAAAAAAAATTAATATAAATTGTTTGAATTAATTTAAGAAATAAAAATTTGAAAAGTTGTTATAAAAAATTGAAAAGAAGAATCGAATAAAATAAAGAACTGAAAGTATCAAAGTAACTTTGATTTGAAGTTAATTAATGTTAAATTAGCACTTTACAATATCAGTGTAATAATCTGTCAGTATTATCGATCTGATTAACGAACAAAAGTGATAAATAATCGATCGACTACGTGTTATTTGTACGAGTCATTACATAGAATAGCGGGGTTTCCTCAAACGTGTAGGGAGAAGACATCAGGTCAGCCGGAAAACGAAAGCTCGACAAATGGCTGCACCAGTGCGAGTGAAAATGGCGCCGCTCGCGGCGCCTGAGGACGGATCTCTGGCCCATTTGAAATGCATTGAATTTTTAAGTGCCACCCTTTGTGCCGTTGCTGCCGCCGCGAGATAGCCAACTTCCGGTTCAGTTCCCTGTTAGTCTTCCTACGGTTTTTCATAGTTTCGGCTTGAACCTTTCTCGACTGGTTATAGCATAATCTCTTTATGTTCACAATACATATTATGAGAATGTGAAAGAATTTTATCAAATTCTTTATTTTAATCGATGGTTATATCTCATCTATATTTAGTTCTATTAAATTATAAAATTTTATCGATATTATATTATTTACATATTTTACGTTATTAGTTACATCTATTTTCTTGTTTTTTAATTAATAAATTTATTATATTGAATAACAATATAAATTTATAAATATATATTTATTTAATAATTTATTAATTAATAATGGTCCTACAAGCACATAATATATTGTGGGAATATTCTATGTTATGTGTCCACTTTATATAATATCTTTAGCATTATGCCTTTTAACCCTGGAATATTATTAAAATATTGATTAGTATTAATTATTTTTATTTAAGTGCTATTTAAATTTACAATAAGTAATGAAAAGGTCCACCGGTCTATGTTACATTTTGGTAGCGCTTAAATAATGTTTCGATGTGATTTTATGTACACCGCCAGTTCTACACACACACACATACACACACACACACACACACGCGCGCGCGCGCGTATAACTGCGCTCCAAGATCATTTTTAGTCTTTAAACGTAATCTAAAACTGGGGTAACAATTTTACAAATATTTTAAAGTAAATAATATAATACTTTGTAGTATCATACAATATTACACTAACATTAATAAATGCAAAAGTAACATTATTATTACTTAAATAAGTAATGTTACTCTTTATAGTTATATAATATATTAGAAGTGAACATATAACCATTCATTAATATTTTAGAAATATTATTTAATATTATATAACTTTTGAAAAATATTTTAAAATGTTACACTTAATAAGATTCTTATAAGAATATGCTTAAAATGTTATTTGTACTTAGTATCAAATACTATTATGCAAAGGGTAATATGTATATATATAAATAACATAATATTGATATAATAAAATTTTATAAATTAATAGAAGTTAGATATAAAAGGGATTTGATAAATGGTAATTATTGATTACTGTTAGTATAATTAGCAGTAAATTACAAAAACTATTAAATTACGTAATTAAAATAGTTAAAATTAAAAAAACAGTCCATTAAATTATTAAATAAATAGTTCTTATGATTACCGCTTTTAAAAGTTCACACGTCTTTTTAATTATTATAATGCCAATTAAAAATTAATATCTTAATTTAAAAACAAAAGTAATATTAAAAATTGTGGCATTACCGGAGTTATCGCAAATTGTGAACTTGAAGATACGTGTTAAGTATTTAAATAAATCTGTATTATTTTTCATGCAAAGCTGAAGGAAGGAGATGAGTGATGATAAGAGAAATGTTAAATAAAGACCTCGACGCGCAAATAGGCGGGTCGATTGATTAAAGAAATCCTATCGTATCGGATGCTGCTCAAGTTATTACAGGGCAAAGGTTCAAGTCGATAAATGTTCGTGTTATTTACGTGTAGTATCGTCGTGTTTAAAGAGCTAAAAAATTTAACATAGTTAACATGTGTCTAAGCTTATTGATTAGGTATAGGTATACCTAGCCCTGAAGCCATTACGCCATGAATAAATAGCCAACGTCCTATCTTTTGGGGTAGAAATTTTGTTCGGCATCGAGCACACTTTGGACAGGTGGTACATTGTAAAAGAGGGCTGAATAATTTAATCAGAATTGATACGTGCGCAGACGCGCGGGATATATCCTTCGCGAGATGCACGGAGCAGGATGCGGGTTGACTTCGGGGTCAAGGACGACTCGGCGGAGCGTGCACCCTGTGCACCTCCTTTCATTCTCTAACGTTGGGGAGACAGGGAGATGCTCGACACGTTGTTTAGAGCATCGACCGACCTTGGTTACAAGCGTTATATATCGAATCGTTGCATATGGAACGTCGGATTTCGATAGTGTGTTAGTTTTGTGATACGCTCTCATAAAATAAACATCTCTCAATAATCAAGTATTGCACACAAATCCCGTTAAAGCGATTCTTTCACGAGATATATTTTCATTTTTGTGAAGTTTTCATGACTTTCTAAATTATATTAAATTTATAAGAAGGTA